TGCGAGGCCAGGCCAGACCCTGGACCGTCCAGATGGACGGTTCAGCCTCAATCGGCGGGCGGCAGCTTCAAGAGCGCCGCCAGGCCCAAGCGAAGTGTCGTTTGGGCCTACCTGATGGGATTAGTCCAAAATCAGGCCTTTAGGGCCTGTAACCCAAAAGGTTGGGCCTTTAGGCCCTGGTGTGTCCCTCCGGCCCTAAGTCGGGTCCGGTAGGACCCGTGTGAGTCGAAGATGTAACACTACTACAGCGCTGCTGGGAGGAAGAAGCCGGAAGCTTCCACCTTGGCTATGGTGGAGCTCTACCGGTAGGAGGAGGAGGGAGAATAGGACCAAGGAGGAGAGTGGCGAGGTACCTACCTGGCTATGGTGGACACCACCTTCATCACCTTGTTAGGCGCTGCATCAGGAAGGCCCCAGTTGGGGTAGTGCCGCATCAAGGAAGCTCGGGACAGAGTCAGGCATGACGGTTGAGTGGGCAGCGGCATAGCTGCCTGATGTTGACCTTGGGACAGGAGGGCAGCGACATAGCTGCTTTGGATTGTCCTTTGGACAGGAGGGTTGAGCCCTCAGTAGTCCGCCATAGCCTCGGCCTACATGTGAGAGGAAGGAGAAAAGTGGCCATGGCTATGGTGGACCTCATGTTGTGCATGCAGTAGAAGTGGGATTCGGACATTGATTCTGGTTCAGCCATTCAACGTTATTATTGTTATTTCTTGTTTGAATAAGGGAGGAGGAGATAAGGAGGAGGAGATTGTTTGGCGAAGTAGAAGAGCCTTATCTTTGGTCATGCTGGAGTACATCTTCTTCTTCTTCTTCTTTCCCTCTCTCTCCTCTCAAGTTCATTCATTTCTTTTTGCAATTGGACGGCATTGTACTTTCTGATGAATGTATACTTCGAAATTGGCCAGGATCGTAACACTAATTAGTATTACGAACTGAATGATACTGCTGCCCTGTTGTTACTGTCAAGCTAAGTTTTCCTCCTCGGCCTACCAAGTTTGAGTCTGGAAACATCGGGGCCTCTACTTCTAGAAAGCCAAGTCCTTAGAATAGCTAACAGAGATCTTAGTTTTAGATCCCAAGTTCAAGTCTCAAGAGCACAGAAGCAAGCAACAATCCAGACTTTCCTCGTACTTGGGCCAGGTGCTGAGTTCGAATCCCGCCGGAGCCAATCAAAGACCCAGATACCACCTGTAAGAAAATGGACTCGCTTGTATTTCAGGGGCTGCTGTTAGGCTTACAGTGCCATTATAGATGGCAATCTTAGAATTGTGGCGTCATTCAAGCTCATGATTCAACCTTTCCTTGTACCGTTTCTATCTCTCTTTTGTGCTGCTGGTTCCTGTTGCCCTTTGATGAGATGCACTGACACTCACATTGTTGACTTACTCATCTTCCTTCTGCTTACTCGTTGTACTTGCTCAAGATGGTTTCTCTTACAGTTGCATGAGGGCTGCTTTTGCCTGGAGCTTCTCTGCTTTAGGGCTAAAATCCTGTCATCTTTCCAGTCTACAAAATCCCATCGGGTGGTTAAAGCAAATGAAATTAAATGACAGCTCCTTTTGTATTTGGATGTGCGCAGATCGCTGAGGCCGTTGGAGTGCTGTTGCAGAATGGAGTTAGCACAAACCCTGCTTACTTCGATCTTTATAAGCACATTTGCCATGAATTGATCAGTGGGCTGAATGATGATGTGCAAATGGAGCGAGCAGCACAGGTGAGCTAGCCAGGAAGCCTAGTCCAAAAAGTAACTTACGGGCTGAGGAAGAAAAGAACTGGAGAGGTTCAGCATCCTGATGAGTCGGTGCAATTCTGCCGAAACAGTATCATCATAAATAAATTTAAAAAAAAAAACAAAAAAAAAACGTAAAATTTGGTAAAAATAATTTCGAATTACCTTTGAAACGGTATTCACCAGTTCGCAGTAGCGAGTGCAGATCCCAGGGCTCGATCCCTAGATCCCCATCTTACCTGTGTACAGTATCAGTGTCAACCTGTAGATTTGAACCTGCTACCTATAGGACCGCCAGTGGTAGGTAGGTTTTCGTAGATCACAGGGTAGAAGGGATTCGAACTGTAGACCTGTAGGGTAGGAGTCTAGACAGTTCAGAGGTCGTAGCTGTAGACTACCTGAAGGGTCAAGGTCGTAGCTGCTACTTACCTGAAAGGGCAAAGTCGTAGCTGCTACAGTACCGAAAGGCCAAGTTAGAGATTTCTAGAAGTGGCCTTTCGGAGTGAGCCTGCGTTAAGTAGAGGCAAGTGGTCAAGTGGTGGTAGTCCACCTAGTACAGTCAGCAGTCCCAGTCCACCCAGTCCGGTCCAGTCCAGCAAGTACCGTCTGGGACTGTGTGCACGATGGGCCAGGGGTACAGGGCAGACCAACGCAGCACCGAAGTATAAATCAAGAGGCTGCGCCCAGCCATTCATTCATTCATGCGGAAGCCATGCGGTAGTGCTGCCTCAGCGTCTAGTGCAAGGAGGTCTGCAGGAGGCCCGAAGACGAAGTGGGCGAGAGTGAAGCAGTGTAGCCATAGCGATAGGTAGCAGCAGCCATAGCTGCCATAGCTTAGTGTAGAGTGCAGTGTGTGTGTACTGTGCGAGTGTTCAGCGTGATGTGCGTGGGACATCCAGGGTGATCCAGAGTGTGAACAGTGACTTGTTTGGGCGCACAGCTGCCATAGCCAGTTACGAGAGAACTCTTATCTGGTTACGATATCACTGAGGACAGTGTGGGCGCCTGTCGCCAGTTTGCTGTATCGCTGTTTGCATGCATGACAAGTGAGAATAACGAGTCTGATTGCACCTTATCAATTGTTATTAATTATTGTATTATATTCATCATATTGAATTAATAAAGAGATTCTCATGTATACAATATTCATAAATAAAATAAATCTATAAAGAGAATATTAGGATGGCCCCTGTGGGGAGTCCACTTTGGTGATTGCTCAGGGTGACGTGCCAACCCGGTTAACGCGAACGCAAGTGCCAACGCAACTCGAACACACTCACCCCGACTCGAACCGAGGCGGCAAGGCGCGAAAGCGCCACGTACTCGCGCCAAGTCGATTCTCAATTCGAACGTGACACAGGGTACACGAGCTAAGTCGAGCCACGCCCTAGGGCGTGGCTACGGGGAGGAAGAAGGAGGGAAAGGCAGAAGGGGAGAGAGAGAAGAGAAGGAGTGAGGAGGTGCTAATGATTAGCTCAATGCAGATGCCAAGACAGAAGAGGGAAAAGACAACGAAAAAGGAATGAGCGGGACAAGGAGGAGTTGAGGAAGGAAGAGGAGCAGCAAGGGAGAGAGGCCTAAAAGAAAGAAAAGACGGAAAAGAGTGGTGGAAAGATTGATATGAAGGCGCCTTTGTCACCCACTCATCAACGAGGAGAAGAAGATACAAGTAACGAGTACAGAGAGGTAAGATCTTTCTCGGCCTCTTGGCTAAGATCAAGTGTAGTATCTGTTCTGATCAGTTTAATATCTGATCCGTGGTCCTGGACCACATTAAAAAAAAAAAAGAAAAAAAAGAGGTAAGATCTTTCCTATTTTTCACCCCGCTATCGGCAAGGGAAAACCCCACGAAGGCAATGCCTCAGCCACAACGCCACACACAGACCGCCTTCGCCTCAACCAAGGTAGAGACAAAAGGAGGTTCAAGCATAGCGTACTTTTCCGAAGTTAGTAATAAAGATCACAGTCTGGCGCTACGCTCTTACCGGACGTACCCTAAATTTAATCCAATAGCGCACAAAAGGACAAAGTGGAGTAAGCAGCGTGGGAAAGCCAGGCATAGGGAAGTATACAACGGGAAAGACTCTTTTTAGAAAGGTTTAAAGTGGAGAGCGACAGTAATGAGCAAGCTTCAAAAGGAATTGAGTGTCGTAGCAGCAAAGCCAAGAGTGAGCCGTAGAAATCGTGCGACTGTCCCCCGCAGCCCCAGTAGTGTCCATCTATGCACATTCCCCCCAAGCCCACAAAACTCCCACCCAGCCGCTCACCTATCACACTGCACTGCCGACAATCTCCCCGACCGTAACCAAATTCCCACCCCGAGGCACTCCATTAGCATCCCTGCCTCCGCACCGTTCCTCAACCCCCACCGACAAGAAACTCTACTCAACTCAACACCCCCTAACGTCATCAACATCAACACCCCTCTCCCAACGAACCTAACCCCTCACAACCTCCAGGCAACCCACACTTCAGTCAGGTAACCCACCCCCTTCTTTCCTCTCCCCCAGCCACCCCCCTTCCCACATGACACCAGGCACTACCCCAAAACCCAGCAGGCAATCACGCACAATTTAAACGGAAAGAAATCCTAAAGCAGAAGAGACAGAAGTAAGAAGGGATTAACCAAGGGACACTCTTTCCGCATGCTCAAATAAAATTGTGTCCTATACACCCAACTCAACCATTCTCGATTGATTACCTACGGGCTCTAAAGAAGACACTACGAGCAATATTCTGATAATTATTTCAAATTTGAATTCGGATCATCATTATTTATTCTTATTGATTATTCTTATTATTACTCTCTTTCTTACCCATCAGGGGAACAGGATATTGCAAGGAAATGAGCGATAGCGAATTCCAGAAACCAAGCAGCATCATACACATGAAACCAGATAGTTTTGACCTTGAACCAAAAGCAGAATTGCAACTTGAGTTCCACCAAATAAGAGCACAACAAAAGCTCACAAGTGACAATGTTGGAATAGTCTCATCATCATCAACAATGAACCAATGCCGAATCCCTATCTGGCGCTCAGCGCCCAGACTACAAATGACAGATCCTATCTAGCCTATCTACAATGCCGCTGGTGACGTCAACAGCTTCCCGAAGTACGAGCAGATCTCGACCAATGCCGTTCGCCTCAAGCACCAGGTATGTCTCACGCTTCACTCACAACCTTGATCCCCCACACAGATGCCACGTGCGCCCAAGGACCACCATGCACCCCATCCAGCAACGTGCAGGCCAGCTTGGCTATGGCTGCCTGCTTCTTCCCTGCTCGCCCGTGAGCGCCTAGGCACTCGCTCCAGCAGCTGGCGCAGCAGCGCTTGCGCATAAGCAGTGAGTGCCCGAATGTCCAGCCAGCAGCCAGGCCCTTTCCTTTATGGAATGCGGCTGTCAGTCGTGGGCTGCCTGGCTGGTCTGGGCCTCCCCACGGAAGCTTCCGGTAGGCCCCAAGTGGCTGAGCCCNCTGGGCCTCCCCACGGAAGCTTCCGGTAGGCCCCAAGTGGCTGAGCCCCTGTCCCAGAGAATCTTCCGCAGGGGCCTGGGGTGGTTACCCGTGTCCAACTGCCAGCGGCCTGTGTTCAATTCATGCCCCGTGTCTGGCCCACGGCCTGCCCTGGATACATTTGAAAACGGCAGGCAGGGCCTGGGCTTACTCAACCAACTGACGCTGCGCAACTGCCTGAATTCCCCAGCTGCGTCAAAGCCCAAAATAGGCCTCTCGTCACTTGTCAGGCCCGCCTTCACTTAGGGCGGCCGTTCTTGCTGAAACAGAGCCCAGTAGGGCTTACCGAGGCCTTGAGCCTCGCATTCCCTCCTCCATACTTCGACAGTCCTCTGAGAAGTCCAATCACTCAATCTGGCGCTTTCCTTTCTGCAGTGCCTTCTCATAGTAGCCAACAACCTGTGGAGCGGTCTGCATCAGTTCCTCTCTTGTGAACCATATGTCCTCCTTAGGATCAATGTGATGTCTGAACTGAAAACGGTACTGTAGCTTCGGCTTTGGAGGACGGCCCCTGCTTGTTGATCTTGGAGCTGGCATTTCCCTGTGGACAACAATATCGTCGATGTCGACCTCTCCATCCATGGTTGGTGGCAGCATAGACCGACGAGAGGGAAACTGATCAGTTTCCTCGAAAGGTGCAAGTTTGGAGGCGTGGAAGACGGTAAGTGCGAAGGTGACCAGGGATCTGTATCACATAGGAAGGCCCATCGGGATCATCTCCGACAATGTCTAGAACCTCCCATGGTCCGAAGTACTGTGGCATGAGCTTTCGGGAAATCCCGTGCTCTTGCCCGAGTTCAAATGCCTTGACCCAGACTCTATCCCCAACCTGGAACGTAGAGGGGCGGCGGTGTTTGTTTTCTGACTCTATCATCGCCGCCTGGGCTTTGTGCATGCTGTCCACTGCTTGCTGCATAAGACTTTCATATCGGTAAGCGAACTCCAAGGTACCCGGCGCAGCAGTGGATTGGTTCTCAGGTAGTAAGAAATCTAGGGGTAGACGAGGCTTAAAAGTCAGGAGCAGACTGTTGGGGCTCACCCCTGTTGCGCTGTGCACAGCGTTGTTGTACAGGCTGGTGATGAGAGCAAGCTTCTCATCCCAGTCCACCTGATTAGGCTTGATGTAGTGCCTCAGCAGGTGTTGTACAACGCGGTTCAGCTGCTCTGCTTGTCCATTTGCCTCTGGGTGGTTCCCGGAGGTCATCTGCAGCTGAGTCCCTTGTTCAGCAGCTGCAGCCTTCCACAGCTCACACGTGAATCGTACATCCTGGTCACTAACGATGGACTTTGGTAGGCCAAAGTCTCTGACCCAATTTTCTTCAAACAGTCTGATTACGAACTCGGTCTTTGCTGTTTCCTGCATAGCAACTAACCTAGCATACTTATTGAACCTATCCACAATGACAAAGACATATCTCACGCCACTCTTGCTGGTGACTAACGTATCCATGAAATCCATGGACAGTCTCT